AATGCATATTACTAATCAAAAATTAGGTTTTGATATATTTACGGTTATTATATATTTTTGGCATAAAAGAAAAATCTATAATTTTGACCCTACAAATGTATCCGTGCTACTTATGACTGGTTTTGTGGTCCAGGCAGGGTCACATTTATGGTTTATTAGGCAACAGATATCAACCTTCTTAGCCATTGTTATTATAGTAAACTAAAACTGAAACTAAAACCATAAAAAAATATTTTTGTTACTTGAAATAAATTTAACGTTAGCTGAAATAAAAAGAAATAAACTTTTAGCTAGTATTAGTATTTATTAGCATTAATTAGTAATATTATTAACTAATACTTAATAAAAACTGTAATATAATCTCAATCATACTAAACTAACACTGGTCTTATATGATATGTGTGTCCACAAACATGAGCTTACCCAGTTCTACAGCAGTGCCTGTAATCCTCTGCAGAGCTGCATTCATGTCACCTCCTTCAGGCACCAGAACCTCAATCTCTCCCACACAATATCCGAAATCAGCCTGGTCCAGATCCACCCGCACTGCACCGGCCTCCCTCTCTAGTGTGTAAGAGCAGCACTCGGTCTTGAACTCAGCAAAACAGACCAGATTGAGGTCATTCAGCCACTTTGTGTCATCTGCTGAACAGATCTCGGTGTCCTCATTTTCTGCGACTTTGTCAATTTGTTCCCTTTGTGAGGAATTTGATTCACTCCCTTCAGCGGTGTGTTCCCTGATTATCCTGCTGACTTCTGATTGAATCAGAGGGAGACTGGTTATCTCTCTGTATCGTGTACAAAGGGTCTCGGTGTCATTGTCAGGTGTAGTTCCTGAAACTGCAGGGCATTTCAACTCCCACAATCCCTCTCGGCATCTCAGCCAGAAATCTTTTAGCGTGAGGATGAAATCTGGCGAGTCAAAGTACTGGTCTCGGAACTGCCGCTGACCAATGCATTTAGCTGTACAGAGACATGAAAATATAAGAAAAAGACATCAAATGAAAGGGTGGTTAAAACTGTTGCTTGTTACTTTAGGATTCTGTATAATAATGAATATAAATATAAAGTGTGTGTGTGTGTGTGTGT